TGTCATTAAGACCTGTTCCATCCATGGTGAGAATATTTGAGCTGGGAAAAAGTAATTTTTGAGATTCCTACTTGTGGGTATTTGAAGGAGAGAAGAATTTCAGAAAAGAGCCCCAAAAAGAGATTGTTGGGTTTAGAACAAAAATCAAAGGAGGAGAGTTTCAGGAAGGGCTACTATACATGTTATTTATTGAAAAAAGAGTCAAAGATCCTTTCCCTGTTAGAAGCTCACTGGCACCTTATGGGCAGAGAAACAGGAGAGGAGTCAGACTGTGAGCAGTTACGAAGTGAATCCAACACTATTGCAGGTAGCTTTCTCATTGAAGAAATGTGATGTGAAAAAAAAACAGTCTATCAACCTGAGGGAACCCCGGAGCCCGTAATTGCTTTGGTAGGATGAGAGAACAGCACGTTTACAGAGGGAAAGGAGTCTTTGAGGCTGTAGCAATGAATTGAGAGGTAAAATTATGATAGCCTGGTAGTGTAAGGAGGAATGTGTCTTGTTCTGGGCCTTCAGGGCTAGGCAGTGGAAGGAACGGGGCATGACACAGAATGAACAACTGGCACCCTAAATTCTAATGGGCTAATACACAGAAATGGGCTGTTGTATGTGCTTTCAGATCTCATGACAGCTGAACACTCCCAAGTCCAGCACTTTAGCATTTCTTCTGAAGCGGAAACAGTATCCAAGTATACATATGTAGCTAGAGGATTCCAAAGGTGAATTGTTGCCTAAAGTTCTAGAATTGGCAGTTGATTCCTGCAGGGAAACTGGATGCTTGGTCATGATTAAGATAGAGCATAAATCATTATACAGGTCTCTAACTTCTATCTTAATGCTTACTACTTATCTGGTCTTGAACTTGGGAAGGAGACCCTTTTCAACACTCAGAGGATTTGAAGGCAAAAGTAGGTTGAATCCTGGCTCTCAAGTTTGACTGGGTGATGACCCTGGGCAATTACATGACTGGCTTTTTCCCACTACTGCTGCTGAAGGTAATGTTTGAACCTGCAAAGTCAGGATGCATGGAGTGACCTACGTTGGAATCCACCATTGCCTTCACTTGCTGGCAGAACAGGAAGAGGCAAAAGCAAATACATCAAGAGGGCACTTTCTTTGACCACCTTTGCTCATTTCATGGTATTTCCACTGATGCTCCACTGCTCTGACCCTTGTCTTCACATCATCTCCTAATGTATTTGGACAGTATAATCATTATGAATGGGAACTCTAAAGTTCTAAACTCTAAGGTGCATGGGTTCAAATCCCAGAACAGCCACTTTTTAGCTGATTTTCCTTGGGCAATTTACTTCAATGGTCAGTGCCTCAGTTCCCTCCCTTGTAAGATGGGGGTGTCAACACTACTTACTTCATGCATTGACTGTGAAGGGAAGACAGCTTATGCATTTGGCAAGCATTCACATACTGGTTGTTTTAAGAACTATTATGTCGGGGCTCAGCATTTATCAGCACCTGCTGCTTTTGCAGACAGCCCAGGTTTGGTTCCTGGCACCCACATGGCAGCTTACAATGAATGGCCTATAATTCCTGTTCCAGGTGATCTGATGCCCTCTTCTGGCTTCCAGAGGTGACAGTGCATGCATATGGTGCACTGATAAACATGTAGACAAAACACTTATATACATAAAAGTAAATAAATAAAAAAATGAAAAGAACCTTAGTGTAAATATTCCTTAATATTTGTGGAAGGCTTCACCTATTATCCATATCTACTGGCGAAAAAGTACTTCTAGAAGTTTGAGGACAGGTCCTTGGCTTTGAGGCACAGCCTTGAAAGATCTAAGACTTCTGCTAGATTACATACAAGGTGACCATATCATCAACACTGGGAGGCTTATGACAGTGACAGTGATATTAATAATTTTCTGGGAAAATAAGTATTAATAAGGGCTGTCCTGGAAAACCAAGACCTGCAGTTACACAAATTAAATAGAAAATAAAGACTAAGGGGCTGGGGAGGTGGCTTGGTGAGTACAGTGCTCGCCATGTAAGCCTGAGGACCTGAGTTTGTTCTTCAGCACCCATACAAAGCTAGGTGCAGTGGCAATACAGGCTTGTCATTTCAACACTGAGGAGGCAGAGACAGGTGGATCCCTGGGGCTCACTGACCTACCAACCTAGCCTTATGTGTACCAGGGAGAGACTCTGCATGAAAAAACAGAATAAACAAAAAATCCAAAGTGGAAGACGGCTGCCTGCACAAGACCTGCAAAGACCACACCAACCCACATGTCAACGTGGATGGAGGAGAACGTCACAAGGCCGCACCCCTAGATGAAGAGTGACAAAGGGAAAGACCCTTTTCTGGTTTGGTTTCATTTTTCAGGGATGAGACCCCCAACCTTAAGTGATGCCCTAAACACATGCAAATAAGGGCAACACTAATTTGACTCAGTAGGTTGTAGAAACAACAAGGTAGAGGGCTCTTGAGGAACAACACCTGAGGTTGACTTCTGGCCTCTACATGCATGTGCACCAGCACAATATGTCTACCCTGACACACATACACACAAAGAAAATGAAGACTAAATGTTAAAAGTACTGAATTTAGAGCCACTGTATTACCAATTTAGATACACTACATTACTGCAAACACTCTAGATTTGGTAAGTATAAAAAGGTGTAATAGTGATTCTATGAACTGTGGTTAACAAGATCTTTTACCTTACCAGCTGTCTCAAATCCCCAGAAGGTAGTCAAACTAAGTTATCCAGGATGGGGCTATAGAGACACTGTTCATTCTTGCTGGATGTGCTGGGTAGCTTTAGTTGTTAAGTTGACACACCTGGGCTGAGGGAGCCTCAATCGGGGAACTGCCTCTATTGGACTGGCCTGTGGGTGTCTGAGGGGCATCTTCTTGATGAGTGATGTGGGAGGGCCCAGTCCACTGTGGGTGGTGCCACCCCTGGGCAGGTGGGCCTGTGTTGCATAAGAAAATAGGCTGAACAGGGGCCAGGGGAGCAAGCCAGTAAGCAGCATTCCTCCGTGGCCTGTGCTCCAGCTCCTGCTTCCAGGTTCCTGCCCTGAGTTCCTACCTTGGGCTCCCTGGTGAACTGCGACTTGGGAGATGTAAGATAAATAAACCCTTTCCTCCCCAAGTTGGTATTGGTCAGAGTATTTTATCACAGCAATGAAGAACAAACTAGGACAGTCAGTGTTATCACAGCAATAGAAAGTAACTAATACGCTGGATAAACCCTCTCTTATTATAGAAATTGCCAGTGAATATTATAAACAGGAATATGCTAAATATTCAAAATACTTAGGAGAACAAGCTATTTTAATTCCCTCCCTGTAGTTTGGAAGCACTACTTATACACAATTGAAATGTTGAGTAAAAATCCAACTTATTCTTTCAGTAGAATAGTTTCTCTAAAGACAGAAGCAAACTTATTCAAATTTAATGACCCTAGTCTGAGCATGTACTTGAATAATAAAACTGTGTTTATTTACATACGACATACCACATATAATATATAGTATATAAATATTATTCTAATTTGATTAAGTTAATGAGCTCTGCGTATACTGTATTATCAGATTATGTAAACTAAAGTCATGAAATAAGTTCAATCGCAAAAACACATATAAGGTTTTGTGTATGGACACCAAGCATGGTTTAATTGGAAATTCTTATTCTTTATTCTAATTTCAAAACATTATGTGCTTTAAAAAAATTTCCAACATGTCTTTTTTGTATCACACTCCTAAAATGAACAAGATATCAGTAAAGTTTTCTGAAAAGTTACTTTAAAAGTTAAATACCACTGTCTGGGCATCACAGTGACAGAGAATTTAGTAAATGCAGACAAATGCAGGTAGCAATTTAAGCAACAAGCACAGGAAGGAGTGGCAGCTTCCCCTGGTGGGGCTCCAGATGTGCTTCCCATGACCAGGGTCCTCTTAGAGGCAGTGAGAAGACAAGAAGTTGCAAAACAGATTGTATATTCTTTTTGAAATGACCAGACAATCTGTAATCAGAATGCTACTTACTGTGTATTTCCAGTTGCTTGGCAAGTGCTGAAGGGTGGGCCACCTGCCCAGAGAAAAAAGGACAGATACTCTTCTTCCATTTCCCTTTGTGTGTCAGCCCAAGGCCAGTCACACCTGACTCTCACACACAACACACTAAAAAAATTTTTTTTGAGATAATGTCTTATACCCACGCTGACCTGGAGCTTGCTATGCAACCCAGGCTGGATTTGAATTCATGATCCTCCTGCCTCAGTGTCCCAAGTGCTGGGATTACAGGTGTGTGTGTGTGTGTGTGTGTGTGTGTGTGTGTGTGTGTCCAGGATTGGTTTGAACATTCTTATTTAGAGCTTACTCAGTCCATCCAATGTAGATACAGATAAACTAGTTACATATTATTTAGCTACTTAAAGCACACAGGCATTTATAGCAAACAGATATACTGTCACAGATAACAAGATTTTGAATGATATGAATATTAGAATTAAGAAGTGAAAATGTAACTAAAAGAATTTAAGAATAAATGTGGGAGGGCAGGGAATAGATGGTGAGCCTGAGCCTTTAAATGCTATGCCATCTCTCCAGTCCAAGGGCAGGGAATTGAGAAGGGTTGGTTGGATACGGTGGGAAGTGAACTGGTAAGTGAGACAGAGACCAAAAGTGTAGGAAAAGGGTGTTGAGTGGAGCAGCTAAATATTGGATTGCTGGATTTCTTTGTTCAAGACAGAGGCTTCAATAATTCTCTGTGCTACGTGTGGGCTCCCACTGCAGAGGAAAGATTTAGTGTACACAGCTGTGTGCAGAGACCCTCCCACCTCTGATGCTCTCTTGGCTCCCTGTGTGTAAGATACTACCCAGGCAACTTCTCTCCTTTCCCTTTCTCTCTGGACTTGGGCTTCTGGTTACATTTCTCTGGGTCATTCCACCTCTTCCCAAATATGTCTCTGAGTAGCAGCAGCCTTCATAAAATGTGTCTTCAAGTGTTAAAACACAAATCCTTAAACATACATGTGAGCCTGCATTTTAATATTTCACCAGAGTGGACATTGTGGCAGATAAAGGATAAAAGCAGAGACAGTACTTCTAAAGAGAGATGATTTCATCATTCAGAGGGAAGCAACCTGTGAGTGACGAAGAAAGCTATGATCTGCTGCTGTCTTTTCCTAAGTAAAGGCACTTGAAGGAGATATTTCTAACTGACAGCAGCATAAAATCTAACAGCTTCAAAGTCTACCCTCTTGAAACAATAGCCTAATACCCAGCAGTCACATACACAATAAAACCACATCTAAGAAAAACAAGCTTCAGTAATAAGTTATTAATACCTGCTCCCCAAACAGGAGTTCGAAAACTAAGCTGGTAACAGATCTATAGAATAAAAACACATGCAGACTTTTCTAAACCAAGAAAGAAGCAGAGACGGCAGCTAAAGGCCTGGTTGAGCCTGCACACTGTGGGCCAGCCTCCAGAAAAGGGTTCTGTTCTTCAAAACCTGTGAGATTATCACAGTAGTTCTTCTTGGGGGGACAAGGGGCAGGAAAGGGGCATAGGGGAGTGATCAGGCGTTAACATTTCAGTTCCATGCACAACCAATCACAACAGAGTTCAGCTGTTGAAAGGATCCTAGAAGCCAGGATCCAAATCTCTCACTGCATGGCACAGAGGCTGTGTGGCAGAAACTCCTGCACGTAGGTGGCAGCTGCCTTGGAGAGGTAGGTCATGGTGCCAAACCTGCCACTGGGTGCACTGTCATACAGAAGAGTACAGATGCCAGATGCGGGATCCTTTGCCAACATGATATCATCTGCGCCAAGGGTTTTCTGTTTGGTTTTGAAGGGTAGGAAAACACAGGGAAAAGGAAGAATTACCAATTCAACAAATTAAAAGTCTGATTAGCATAACTCGGAGCTTCCTCTGCATCACCAATTCATTGCTTCTTAGGTTACTGAGCCAGGAGAGGGTCAGGGTTATGTACAAAAGGATGAATGAGTTTCTATGCATGTATTTGCCACTAGACCCCCCATCACCACAAATTATTTTTCAATTACTGTTTAGAATTTTCCATTGTAAGCATTTTAAAATTTTATTATTTTTATTTTATTTTATGTGTATGAGTGTATTGCCTGAATGTCTGTAAGTACACCAGTGTCATGCAATGCCTGTGGAGGTCAGAAGAGGGTGCTAGATCCCCTGGAACTGGAGTTATTGGACAGTTGTTAGCTGCCATGTGGGTGCTGGGAACTGAACCTGGGTCCACTGCAAGAGCTCTTAACCACTGAGCCATCTCTCCAGCCCCAGCATTTTTGAAAGTTAAATATACAGTAATAGTTAATTAAATGGTTCATATCTGTTAATAAGAGAGATAATATCAGCATTTGGAAATCACCCTAGTGGGACACTAGTGGGCTACCTTCTAGTACTCTGATCTTGGCTTGTGCTCTTTTACCTACCTGTTATTTATTTATTTTTATGTAATTTTGTGTATTTCAAATATAGAAAATCATCTTTATACCCCCTTCCCCTTTGGCACCCTCCCAAAGCCCCCCTCCCCCGCTGGAGTTCATACATTCTGTCATTTGTTTTAAGGCCTATCATGTAGAGTTAATATCCCCAGATGTCCCTCAGTGCAAGTTCATCCACTGAGATCTAGTCAGCCTATCTAGCGTCCCTCCCTTTAAGAAGATCAGCTCTTCCTCACCCAGCAGTAATCAGCTGCCAATAATCCTTTGACTAAGATTGGGGCCTGGTGCTCATTGCCACAGTTCTGTGCTGGGTTTTTGTCTGCTTTTATGTTTGCATGGGTCTTGTGTATGCTGACACTGTTGCTGTAGGTTTGTATGTGAAGAGTCCCAGGAGCCTGTAGGACTATTTCTGTCTGGTCATGCACCTCCTACAATCTTTCTGCCCCCTCTTCTGCAATGATCCCTGAGCCCTGGGTGGGTGGACTTCAATATAGGAGACCTGTCCAAGGACCCACACTCTGCAGACTCTTATTCTCTATGTTTTGGCCATTTGTGACATTTTGTGTTCCTGACCCTCTGTTGCATGAGGGAGCATCATTGATGAGAACTGAAGATGCATTAGTGTTCTCTTCATCCCTTCTTCTATGTTCCGTGAGCCTTAGGTGTAGAGGTTGCATCCTAGATGTTCTACTTAGACTTGGGCTATTCACAATCTCTGTGTGTGACCAGTTGTTGAAGTTTGTAATTATCTCTGTCTTCTTTGATGGGTGGTGACTGGGATACTTGTCTATAGATTTAAGGATCCATATTACATTTGTCTAGGGATGTGACAGCCTTTGAGTTTTCTCTAAGATCTATTATCTAGCTGTTATTTCTTTCTAATCCAACTTAGTTCAAAAACACTAAGTATTCCAAAACGAAAGTCTATGTCTAAAAGGGATTATATTTTCTGATACATGGGCTGACATCAATCTCGAGTATTTAAAACTGAGTACTCTTGAATACCTTTGTCTTCTGTCACAGTGGCTAAGAGAGCAAAATATCTCCTATATACTTTGGAAATTTTTCTGTAGACAATGCTCTGCCCTTTATGTGCTTTTCCTCTCAATATAGGCAACATTTAGAACACTTTCAATAAAAAGTTTGTATTTCTTTTTTAAAAGACTGAAAAAATATTTTATGTGTATATCGCCTGTATGTATGTAAGTGGACCCGTGTCTTGTAGTGCATGCAGAAGTCAGAAGAGAGCACCGGATTCCTCTGGAACTCAAGTTACTGATGGTTGTTAGCTGCCATGTGGGTGTTGGGAATAGAACCCTGGCCTCTGCAAGAGCAGCCAGTGCTCTTAACTGCTGAGCCATATTTCCAATCCCTTTAAAAGACTTTTTAAAATTATTTATCTCTGTGTGTGTACCACCATGTACATGTGCATGCAAGGTGCCCTCAGAGGCTAGAAGTGCAGATCCCTGGAACTGGAGTTATAGGCAATTGTGAGCCCCTTGATAGAGGTGCTAGGGACTGAACTTGGGTCCTCTGGAAGAGCAGGAAGTGCTCTTAACCTCTGAGCCATCCCTCTAATGCCAGCAGTTTGTATTTCTAATGTGGTTAATTTTCTGGAAAATTTTTCAAGGAAATGAAAAAAATGTAGACGTGAAAGTTTCACTTTTAACATTTCCTTGCAAGTCCAAGGAAAATCATAAGCAAATTTTCTTTTTTCCTACTAGGAAAGGATATGCCACCTAATAGTGCCTATTAAGTCCTTTAAATTACAAAAAGCATCGTGAGCAGGAGTTGGAAATATAATGTTAATGCTATGCTTCAAGGCTTTTCAGGGAAAAGAATAATACTTCTTGAGTTCCAGGCAACTTTACCACTAAAAGCTAACCACAAAACACATAGGATGGGGAAGGCAGATAAAAGGAGTTTGCATTTGATCAATAGGTGCTGTGCTGTAGTCATCTGTGAAAATGTCACATTGAATTCCATTAATATGTATAATTAATATGTACTAATAAAAAATAAAATCCGGGTGTGGTGGCACATGCCTTTATTCCTAGCACTCAGGAGGCAGAGGCTGGCAGATCTCTGTGAGTTCAAGGCCAGCCTGGTCTACATAGTGAGTTCCAGGCCAGCTGGGGCTAACCCTGTCTCAAAAAGACCAAAATAGATAGATAGATGATAGATAGATAGATAGATAGATAGATAGATAGATAGATAGATAGTGAGTGTTCCAGGCCAGCTGGGGTTAACCCTGTCTCAAAAAGACCAAAATAGATAAATAGATAGATAGACAGAATAATGATAGATAGATAGATAGATAGATAGATAGATAGATAGATAGATAGATAAAATAAGATGGGCTGGGAGTGTAGCTCAGAGGCAGATCACTTGTCTAGAATGCAATGACTTATATCCACAGTACTTCAATCAATTAATCAGTCATTCAATCAATCAAACAATCTAGTTTTTAAAAAAGAAAAAGCTCCACATACTTCCTAACAGTGGCCATCTTTTAGCCCATCTGTTTTGCAAACAGAGATCAGTTACTACAAAGGGGCTCCAGAAAAGAGCTATGAGGAGGAGGATACAAGAATATGACCTCAGTTTTGTGAGGAGCTTGGAATTTATTACAAAACATCCTCCTTTGAGAAATCTACAGGTTTACCTATCTGTTTTTTTTTTTTTAATTTTTGGAGACAGCATTTCATGTAGCCCAGGCTGGTCCTGAACTCACTATATAGTTGAGGTTGGCCTTGAACTCTTAATTGTCTTGCTTCCACCTCTTGAGTGCTGAGATTACAGGCGTGCATCACATCAGGTTACCTACCTGTTCTTGAAGGAACAAATCATTGGCAATATGCACTATTTTTTCCACAGCAATGATGCTTCCGATGCTATGAATTTCAATATCTGCCAGCATGGTGAGGACGAGGATGGCTTCAACCAGAAGCTGACGGTACTCTGGCTGAGGTACACGATTCAGGACAGACTCCACATGGACAGAGAATTTAATCTCACCTGGAGTCATCTGTAATGGAAAAAAAATCACTTCCTAGGAGATCATTACCTGAGAGCATTAAACCTTTTCTCTGAAAAGCAGTAAATATTCTGTAACTGCAAGTATGGCTTCAGTCCCATTGATAGAACTGAGAAAATCTGTTCAACCCTTTAGAAAGCCACTCTGACAATGCACGACAAGAGAAAGTGTCAGTGCCCTCTAACCCATAATCCTATTTCTAGGAGTTTGTCTTAAGAAAATGATTCAGAGAAGAAAAAGGCTTTGTGTGCAAGAAAGTTTATAGTAGCATCAGTCACAAGCCTAAAACCAGAAGTACCCTAAACATGGCAATGAATGAGTAAACAATAACATATTGTATGGTGATGTCAGGAGTCCCTATGAAGCTATTTATGAGAACAAATCTATGATATAGAGGAAAATTTTAAGTCAAACTGGAAGTGATATATATATATATATACATGTATGTATATATATGTATATACATATATAAGAATTATGTAAAATATCTACATGCTGTTAGAATAAAATAGACATTAAGAAATTAAGTTATTTTTGGGTGGAGTAGATTGATGAATGATTTTTGGAAAAATTATAGTGACTTTATACTCTATAGAAGCAAGTAGATTTGGAGTCTAAAGACCTGGGTTCAAGTCCTGTGTCAGTTATGAGTAAAATGACCTTGGATAATCAATCTCTCTAAATTTCTTTGCTTATCTGTAAACTGGGAAGAACAATCTTTTCTTAGTTATCTCACAAAGTTGTGCTGAAAATCAAATTAAATAATATAAAAGTGCTTAGAAGATTCTTAGGGGTACTAGACTGGTATACATTATTACTAATTAACATTTTAATATTGTTCAAAGGCGCTGGGTGTGGTAGCACACACCTTTAATCCCAGCACTTGGGAGGCAGAGGCAGGCAGATCTCTGTGAGTTCAAGGCCAGCCTGGTCTACATAGTGAGTTCCAGGCCAGCTGGGGCTACAGGGAGACCCTGTCTCAAAAATGCAAAAATAAATAAAAAAATAATATTGTTCAAAGGCACAGAAAAAACTTATAGGTAATATGGTGTTCTTTACTACAGAAAAGGCTTGTAGGCAGCAATTAAGGTCTAAAGCATTCATTCACTTTCAGGACTGGCACATACAGTTGCTATTTGAAACAACCCCAGTTTTTGAGAATTTTATGCTTGTTAATTCAAAAACAAATCAAAAGCATTTAATAATCAGTACCTGTGGTTTGTGGCAATGTTTTCTAACCATGGTTATATATTAGCTTCAGTCTATAGATTTAACAAAATATAGATGCTCAGGTTCCCATTCTAAATCACTAGGTTGGACAAAGGAGCTCAAGTTACTCTAATATATAATTAGAATTCCAGACAAGCATGGATCTACAAGTATTCTATTAGAGAAAGGTGGGAATGAGTGAGATAGGGGGACTTTTATGTCATTCCATTCTTTTTTGATTTGTATCCCTTCTGCTTTTTCCAACTCTCCATTTCACAGAGACTAAATTGACCATTAAAAGAAGCTGTTGTTATTAATAAAACATATAATTATTCTTGTGTGTGTGCACATGTGTGTTATGCCTGTCTGTGAGTGTGTTTGCCCATGAACACACATGTGGCCAGAGGCTGACATAGGATGCCGTCCTCAATTGTTTTTCCATCTTTTTTTTTGAGACAGGGTCTCACTGAAGCTGGAGTGCCCCATCTCAGCTAGACTAGCTAGCCAGCAAGCCCCTAGACTCCACTTGACTCCACCTCCTAAGTGTTAGCATTACAGGCTTGCACTGCCATACCCAACTTTTTTATGTAGGTGCTTGGGATCCAATCTCTGGTCTTTATGCTTGCATAGCAAAGCACTTTACCCATGGAGGCATCTCCCCAATACCATATAATTATTCTCTATCATTCTTGTTCCATTTTAAAAAGCATTCTCTCCTTCAAATGCATTTAAGTCAGTTAATGTATAAAAGGATAGGCTTGTTACTTTGAAAAGTGATCACTGAAATATTTCAGACATTCACGCTTTCTATCACATAAATGTAAAAGATAGAATCTTACCTCCCTAGTGGTTGAAGAAGGAAGAACAAATCCTTCCACAGAAAGTCCATGACACTGCCAAACAAAAAAAAAAACGTGTTACCAGGGACAAGCTAACAAGCAGAAGGCTGGAAGGAGAGACTTCATATTTCTTTTCTAAAAACACATTTTAGTGAGTTTTTGTGCATTTCATATAGTAGATCTTAATCAAATTTAGACACCCTCCCCCATTCATACTCCCTATAGCACCCCCACCAGATTTAATGCATTCCATCATACACATTAAGTCCTATGCAGTCAAGCATTCGTACCCAGATGTCCTTCAGGGTACATTCCTCCATCTGGATGACCCACAGCCTATCTAGAGTCTCTAGAGTTTGTCCTCTGCTTAGGGAAATGGAGTAGGTTGGCAAGATCTCCCTTCTGGGATAGGCCAGAACCAAAATTCAGTGAGTATCTAGGGCATTATCATGATTTGTCCCAGAGCCATCACAAATAGGCCTTAAAGAGCTGGTAAGATGCCTCAGCAGGTAAAGGCAAGGTGCTTGCTGACAGTCATGCAGCCTGATGACCTGAGTTCAATTCCTGGATATGTAAAGGTAGAAAAAGATAACTGACTCCATGAAGTTCTCTGACTTTCACATACATGCTGTGGCATGTGTGTCCCCCCAACCCCCCATCATGCACACACACATACACATACACACAAGCAATTTCTGTTCTTGTGGACTTTAATTCTACAGAGAGAAACAATTAATAAACAGTAAATAATGTATCTAAAATGTGAAAAGATGATAGAAAAAGTAGGACAGGATGAAAATATTAATGGGGGACTTTGCTTGAACGAGTACGGATGACTCAGGTCCAATAAATGCATATCATGAATTATTTTCTAGAGCCTAAGTCATTTGAAGGACTATTTAATTTTTTTTTGTTTTAGAACAGTCCAAGGACTGTTTTTTAAAAATATTTTTTATTATTTATTTTTATTTTATGTGTATGCATCTATTGCCTGCATGTACGTAAGTGCACCCATGTCGTGCAATACCTACGGAGGTCAGAAGAGGCTGTCGGATCCCCTGGAACTGGAGTTAGGGACAGTTGTTAGATGCCATGTGGATGCTGGGATTTGAACCCGGGTCTTCTGCGAGAACAACCAGTGTTCTTAACCACTGAGCCATCTCTCCAGCCCTGGATTAATGTTTTTTTTAAAGTATTTATTATTTTTATTTATTACCTTTATTTTTATGTGTATGAGTGTATTGCCTGCATGTATGTAAGTGCACCTGTTCTGTGCAATATCCTCAGAAGTCAGAAGTGAGCGTTGGATTCCTGTGGACCTGAAGTTAGTGGCCAGGTGGGTGCTGGGAATCAAACCTAGGTCCTCTGCAAGAGGAGCCAGTGCTCTTAACTGCTGAGCCATCTCTCCAGCCCCCTATTTAATTTTTACAATTCATTTCTATTTTATGTATATGAGTGTTTTTGCCTACATGTATGTGAATGCACTTGTGCACACAATGCCCATGGAGGTGAGAAGATGGCATTAGATACCTGGAATTGGAGTTAAGGACTTGTTAGCTGCCATGTGGGTGCTGGGAACTGAACCTGGATCCTCTGGAAGAGCAGCCAGTGCTCTTAACCACTGAGCAATCTCTCCAGTCCCCATTTGATTAAAAAACATGTGTGTGTGTGTGTGTGTGTGTGTGTGTGTGTGTGTAAGTCAGAGGACAGTTTGCAGGAGTCGGTTCTCTCCTTCCACCACACGGGTCTCAGGGATAGAACCCAGGTCATCAGTCTTGGAGGCAAGTTCCTTTACCAGTCCACGATTAGGCATCTTTATTACAAATCATTTTGGCTTTACATCATAGCTGCTTTTTAAAAAAGGTAACCACAGATTCAACTCCTGGATGACAAAGAACAGATATTTTCTGTAGTCCTTACACAGTAACTGGGGTAGAGCACCTAATACATATCTATTAAATTGAATTATAGTAATCCATGCATAACTGGAGAGATAAAATACATATTGGTCACTATCATAGTAGTGTTAGCTGGAAGGAAAGCACATTGTGGGTGCCCTTTGAAATCACGATCCTCAGAGCGAATAATCTGAGGAATAAACTTTCACCATTTCTGAAGTATCATCTGATTATGTCCCTGGAAGAATTATCAGTGTGAAGACAGAAAAAAAGACATAAATAAAAGCTATGGTGTCCTGGATGAAGTACTTTTCATGTCCATATTAAGGGCAATGAAGCAAAAAGTGGACCTAAGAGACTATAAATGAAGCACATGGGATGGAGATATAGTTCAGCTGATACAGTGTTTGCTTCACATGCACGAAGCCCTGGGTTTACTCCCTAGAAGAGCATAAACTAGGTATGATAGTACTCATGTGTAATCCAAGCAGTCAGTAAATGGAGGCAGAAGGATCAGTTCAAGGTCATCCTTGACTACAAATTGAGGCCAGCCAGGGATACATAAGAACCTATCTCAAGGGCTGGAGAGATGGCTCAGCGGTTAAGAACACTGGCTGTTCTTGCAGAAGACCCGGGTTCGAATTCCAGCACCCACATGACAGCTAACAACTGTCCGTAACTCCAGTTCCAGGGGATCTGACAGCCTCTTCTGTCCTCCACAGGCACTGCATGACATGGGTGCACTTACCTACATGCAGGCAATACATGCATATACATAAAATAATAAATAAAATATTAAAAAAAGAACGTATCTCAAAAGAAAAAAAGGGGGGGGCTAGAGAGATGGCTTGGTGGTTAAGACCACTGACTGCTCTTGCAGAGGACCTAGATTCAAATCCCAGCACCCACATGGCGGCTGACCATCCATAGCTCCAGTTTCAGGGGATCTGATGCCCTCTTCTGACCTCCACGGGCATTGCACGACATGGGTGTGCTTACATGCATTCAGGCAATACACTCAAAACACATAAAATAAAAAAAAATAATATATAAAAGACTGTACTAGTATAAATAAGACCAATGAATGAGGACAGTGTTCTTTGTGATCCTCTAAAACTATCAGTACTATAATGGTGTGATATGCCCTTATATATCTGTGGCAAAACAGGCCTTAGAAATAAAAACAAATGTTAGTGACACCAAGAATCTTTGTGCCAGGTGTGGTGGTGGTGGTGCATGCTAACAATCCTAGCACTCAGGAGGCTGAAGTAGGAGGATCTTGAGTTGGCACCCAGCCTTGACAATGAAACCGTGTTTTAAAAAAATCAGCAATAATAACAAAGACAAAAATAAAGAGAAAACCGAGAGTGTTTCTGAACTAATAACATCATTGCAAGTTTGCATCCAAAGCCAAAAATATTGGCAAGAGCTGCCTATATAAACTCCCCATGTACTTCACTTGTTTCACTGTGGTAATGTGGTTATGAAAAGCTCATAGCGACAAGTAACATTCCAGCTCATGGTAAATACAAAGTGAGCTCCTTAGCATCAATTATTGACTAGCAGCAAATGTATTACAATATGTCACAATGTTCAACTGTAGCCCCAGAGAGGTTATGATTTTTAAAACTGAATTTAGAAACTATTCAATGGGGCTGGGGAGATGACTCAGCAGTTAAGAGCACTGGCTGCTCTTGCAGAAGACCCAGGTTTGATTCCTAGCACAGACATGGCTGCTAACAACCATCCATAACTCCAGTTCCAGGGGCTCTGATGCCCTCTTCTGATCTCTGCATGGCATTGTACAACACAGATCCACTTACATATGTGAAAGCAAAACATTCATACATATAGAATAAAATAATAAATAAAATAAAAATATAATAGCAGTAAAGAAAATAGACTAATGCTGGGCTTGGTGGCACATGCATTTAATCCAAGCACTTGGGAGGGAGAGGCCAGCCTGGTCTATATGGTGAATTCCAGGCCAGCTGGGGCTACAGGGAGACCCTGTCTCAAAAAAGACAAAAAAGAAAATAGACTAAATTATCAATAATGCCACAGTAATAAATCAAATTATTTTGTTTTCTTTTAGATTACATTTGAGTAGTTCATCTTTATGTAATTACAATCATGTTATAATTATTACATATCTTAGCCAAAGAGACTTAGGATTTCAAGAAAGGACTAAAGAGAGCAACAGTGTGTTATGCTCACCTTCTGCAAAACTTTCCAGACTTTTTGATAAAACCCAATTGGGACTCTATTTAGTGCTCCATCCAGCCTTCTCCGGCGTTGCCACTGACCTTGACGACTATCTCTAGATGTCTGTTGACCATATGTACTAGGAAAGGATCCACAACTTGCAGGAATACAGGTTGCAGGGGACTTTGGAGAAGAGAGTAAAAGAAAAGAAAATCAAAAGTGATCTCTGTTCCTCTGGTTAAGTACCACAGCACAAGTAATGATAAATACTCTGCAGAATTATAAAGCATACATGAAGTGAAAGAGCCTGACTAGCAACATGAAAGCTAGTCAATGTACATATAGCCAGCAGTGCTGTAACTTTGTACAATCATTTTAGAAAGACATCTGGTGATTCATATGAATAGCCATAAAACTACCAATGACATGGGTCATTCTACACTGGCTTTGTACCTCACTGTCTCTGTTAACTGGCTTTGTTTTTTGCTCTCATGGCCTATAATATAATGCATGATTGGAATCATGCAAAGTATGTTCTCTAGTCACAGGACAATTAAATTAGAAATTAGCAACAAGAAGAAATGAGAACCCATATAAATATATGGAAAACAAATAGCATATTCCTAAATAACTAGTGCATAAAGAAAACAATCTAAGGAATAGCAGAAGTACTCTGAGATGAAAACAAATGAAAACAAATAAAAAACTTATGCAATAAAGTTGAAACAGTATTTAAAGACAAATTTATGCTACAAGTAAATGCTTGTATTGAAAAGGAATAGATGGAGCTGGGCGTGGTGGTGCATGCCCTCAATTCCAGCCCTTTGGAGGCAGAGGCACGCAGATTTCTGTGAGTTCAAAGCCAGCCTGGTCTACATAGTGAGTTCCAGGCCAACTGGGGCTACAGGAAGACCCTGTCTCAAAAAGACAAGAAAAAAGAAAAGAAAAGCTGGATGTGGGAGGCTAATACCTGTAATCCCAGCACTAGGGAGGCTAAGAGAGGACTGCCACAAGTTTGAGATCAGTATGGGCTGCATAATGGAGTTCCAGGCCAGCCTGGGCTACAGAATGAGACCCAGTCTCAAAAAATTACAAACATCTCAAATCAATAACCAAACTTTCCACATTAAGACAACAAAAAGACCACAGTAAAATGAAAGCAAACAGAAGGAAGAAAATAACAGATATTAGAGTAGAATGAAAAGAGAGAATAGGAAAATAAAGAAGACTAATAGAACAACAATAAATTTTGGTAACAGTGATTGAATATAGGGCCTACTATATGCTAAGCAAGTGCACCTCCACTAAGCTTGTATTCTCAGCTTCTTTTGAATGCTTTTTCTTGTGAGATAGGGTCTTGTCAAGTTGTTCAAGTGGCTTTGAACTAATTCTGTAGCCCAGGCAGGTTTTGAATTTGTGATCCTCCTGTCTCAGCCCTCAGAGTAGCTACGATTACAGATTTGCAACACCAGGTTCAACTCAAAAGGTGATTCTATGAAAATACCAACTAATGAAAGAATATAGTTTTTGTTGGTTATTTTTGAGATTTCTTTTTTGGAGTACTTTATTATTTCTTATTTTGTGTGTATCGTGTATTGCCTGCATGTATGTAAGTGCACCCATGTCGTGCAATGCCCACAGAGGTTAGAAGAGGCCATTGGATCCTCTGGAACTGGAGTTATGGATGGTTGTTAGCTGCCATGTGGGTGCTGGGCATTGAACCTGGGTCCTCTGCAAAAGCAGTCAGTTCTGTTAACTGCTGAACCATCTCTACAGCCCCTATTTTTGAGGTTTCTTTTGAGACAGGGTCTCATAGCACAGGTTGGCCTGGAACCCACTACGTAGCCAAAGCTAGCATTGAATTCATGACCCTTCTGCCTCTACATCACATACATCACAAGTGTTGGAATTACAGGCATGTGCCACCACACCAGGCTCAAACAGAACAATCTTTACCTAAATGGACCAAGAAAAAAGAGGAGAGAATCAACTCCAGTTACACACACACATATATGATTATGGTGATAAAGTCATACCATCAGTGTCTATATGCTAAGAAATTACATAACCTAGGTGAACTGTAAAAATTTATAGAAAGCTAGAGTCACGCTTGGGTATTGGCTATTGCCTTGGTGTGCTAGAGTCCTCGAAGAATAACTGCTGACCTTATTCACTGGCTGTGGACCTCATGGCACAGTCAGGCACTATGCTAGTGACATTCGTCAGGTTAAAAAAAATCATAGAAAGACACAAACTACCAAACTGATAAAAACAGAAAATAACAAATTACTTATAAAATGTAGCCAGATTAAGAAGGCCAGAAATTCCTACAATGAAAAGCCCAAGCATAGATAGATGGCATAGATAATGCCACAGAACATTTAAAGATTACAAGAGAGCTGAAGTCCAGTGCTCTTTATGAATATATATTCAAAAATCTTCAACAAAGTACTATTAAAGTTAATTCAGACTGGGCATGGTAGTCCACGCCTTTAATCTCAGTAGAGGCAGGCAGATCTCTGTGAGTTCAAGGCCTGTCTGGTCTACATATTGAGTTCCAGGACATCTAGGGCTACAGGGAGACCCTGTCTCATAAAGACCAAAGAAAAAAAGTTAATTCAATGGATTGTATGCCATGATGAAGTGGGATTTATTCTAGCAATTCAAGCCTTTAAAAATACCTAAACATGGGAGCTGGAGAAATGGCTCAGTAGCTCACAACTGCCTGTAACTCCAGCTCCAGAGTATCTGACATCCTCTTCTTGCCTTTGTGGGTATTTCACTCGTGCACAAACTCTCTCTCTCTCTCTCTCTCTCTCTCTCTCTCTCTCTCTCTCTCTCCACACACACACATAATTAAAAATAAAAAAATTTAAATCACCCAAACATTTTAAAAATCACCTAAAAAATAAAATAAACACCTAAACATCAATTATTATGATGCATTACATCAACAGAATAAAGTATAATAACCACATCACCTGAGTAGAAAAACTAACAAAATTCAACCTGAATTCATGATTTAAAAAAAAACACCCAGCAAGCTAGGAACAAAACAGAATTTCCTCAACTTATATAAGGCTCACGGTTTTCTCAAAAAATACACAAGGAATAAAGACTGATGCTTTCAACCCTTAAGAACATGACAAGAATCCCACAATCTCACCACTTCTATTCAACATTGTACTAGGGGTTCTAACCAGTACACTTGAAGAAATAAAGAACATTCCACTTGGGAAAGAGAATGAAGACTATTTCTATTTGACGATAACATGACCTTATATACAGAAACTGCTAAGGAATTTGTTAATAAACAACTTCAAATAATACATGAGTTCAGTACAGTTGTATGAGTTTAAATCAACAGCAAAAGTCAATTATATTTCACTTGAATAGGTATTTCAACAAAGAGGATGTGCAAATGATCAAGAACTATGTGGAAAGATGTCAGTGTAACTTATTATCATAAAAATATAAGGCAAACTACAATGATTTATCAACTGTTACCTGTCTGGGATGGCCATTGTCTACTAAACAAAACATAATAACGTTGGTGAGAACATGAAGAAACTGGAAGGTGTGAGAATGACTGTTCTGAGAATGTCTTCTGTTATAAATATGGACATGATTCTTTTATAAAACAAACAAGGAGGGAATATAGGAATGACTTCTGGACAATCTTTTTTAAAAAAGTATTTTATTTATTATTTTTATTTTATGTGTACTAGTGTATTGCCTGCATGTAGGTAAGTGCACCCCTGTCATGCAATGACCACGGAGGACAGAAGAGGCCATCAGATGCCCTGGAACTGGAGTTACAGACAGTTGTTAGCTGCCATGTGGGTGCTGGGATTTGAACCCAGGTCTTCTGCAACAACAACCAGTATTCTTAACCACTGAGCCATCTCAGACCCTGTCTCAAAAAAGATCAAAAAAAAAAAAAAGAAAAAGAAATTTTCTTTTTCTTTTTTTTTTGTCCAGCCCCACAAACAGAATCTTATCTAACATTATAATCAAAGTTAATCTTATGTTTTGAGGTCATTTAACAGTATTTTAACTTGTTAATAATGTAAACGAGCTTACTAGACTTTGGAATCTTCTTGTAACCTAAAAATATAGCCTCAATCTCTCATGATCTTTTCTTGCCCCTGGCCCAATATAGTGTGTGTGTGTGTGTGTGTGTGTGTGTGTGTGTGTGTGTGTTGTGAAAATATCAAACTCTGAAAGCAGCAAATATTTATTGGAATTATACTATTTATGTTGTAAAAAAGATGGGATTAGGTCGATAACATCTCTATGTGGTTGTGTGTGCTATTCTGGGTCAACAGGGGTCAGATAGGGAAAATCTGTTGATAAGATAGGTTCCTCATTCCTTCACACATATCATGCTGAGAACCTGGGTTCAATTCCCAGCACCCTCACAGTGGCTAGCAATCGTCTGAAAGTCCAGTTCCAGGGCGATCCAACGCTGACTTCTGACCTCTGTGGGCATTGCATGACACAGGTCCACTTACATACATGCAGGCAATACACTCATACACTAAAAAATATTTTTTAAATTTAGAAATTTTATGTGTACGAGTCTTATGCCTGCATGTGTGTAAGTGCATCTGTGTTGTGCAGTGCCCATGGAGGACAGAAGAGGGCGTCAGATTCCTTGGAATTGGAGTTATAGATGGTTGTTTGCCACCATGTGAGTCTAGATTCTAGACCAGAACCTGGGTCTTCTGCAAGAACTACCAGTGCTCTTAACTGCTGAACCATCTATCCAGTCCCATAAACAAAATATTTTTAAAAAGACAATATCAAGCATTGATGAGGATGTTAAGAAAGTAGAATGCTTATTATACATTGCTGTAGAATGTTTATACATTAGAAAAGTCTGGCCATTCCTCAAAATGCTAAACATAATTATCCCATTGCTTCCTGTCTGTGTTGGTGAATCTTAATTGTAAACTTGATTGGATTTAGAGTCCCCATGGAAACAAAAACTGTGCATATCTGTGAAGGATTTTTGGGATTAAGAAGACTCACCCTAATGTGGTGGAACCATTCCATGGGATAGGGTCCTGGACTACATAAAAAGGAGAAAGGAAATAAAACGAAAGGACATGAAGGAGGAAGGGGATGCTTTGGGGGTACCTGAGAGGAGTAGGGCATTGGAGGTTAACATGATCAAGACA